TCGGTGTCTGACATCTCGTCACCTGTCGGCACCGAGCGGCTGCACATGTGTAACAGCAGCACATGTGCAGCTGATTCCCGACACGAAGCTTAAATGAGGGACCGGGCTGGGATGCGGTGGCCGCTGTGTAGCTGTCACTCTCCGGTGAACAGATGACTCTGGAGGCTGGTTTTGTTGTTGCTCTGACGTCAGTGCGAGCTACAATGAAGCCGACAACATGAGTATAAAAGCCGGTTGGGAGGCTGCCGCTCCGCTGCTCCAAACTGCACCGGGCTGACATCAGGGCAACAACATGCACTTCCAGAGCTTCACTCCCATCGTCCTCCTACAGCTCACCGTAGTCGGCGTCCTGCATGGTAAGAAATCTGATGAGTAAATCTTTCAGGATGTCAGACTGTAAAACTTTGGATGCACTTTTAAGCAGTGTTGAGATGTTTGCCCTCCTTCAGCATTTGCTGGGTCTTGAGCAGAAAGGATGCTTGAAGGCAGGTGTCTCCATCCTCTTGCACATGAAGACATTAAATGTGGTTGCTTGACCCTGATGCTGATCATTTTTGTTTAGTTTTAGTTCTGTTTTCAATTTAGTATTAAAATGTTAATGTGGGATTTTACTGCATTCTATTTAAAATGCACATTTGGATAAAGTCTTTTCTTTGTCTGTTTCAGCTGCCAAATGGACGTACAACGGTGAGTCGGATCATATTTTTCTCACAATTGTGCAAAAGTGTATCTCTATAACCTTTAAGCTTTTGGTGACCTAACAGCCTCAACTAATTGAGTGTTAGAATTCAATTTGATGCAACAGGCCAATAGGCAATGAGTGAGTCAGAGAAGTTGTTATTGTTGTTTTGCCCTCACCGCAATGCTCTGAGCTGCCAATGTCAAATTGTCAGACAAAAGTGGTGACAGTAACATCAAATGAAGCGGTCGAGATAAAAAACAGAAAAAGCTTTGTGACCCTTCTTTGACTCCCACTCACGGCGAGTGTACTGGCGTCACCCCATCACCTCACGTAATTAAACAAACTCTGCAATTACGACATTTCATCAGTGGCTGACTGCCTTTGTCTCGCGCCTTAAGGTCTTTGGGCAGGACTCCTTGAACCATGACTGTCTCTTACATAAACTGCGCTCACGGCGTGACCTCTTGACTTTGTGTCACTGCCTTCTCAAAAATCTGTTGCATTCAGGGACCGAACGTGAAAAACCAAATGTCAGCAGGTGAAGCAGCTAAATGACGAATATTAACCAGACTTTTGAAATTAGTGTGGAGATTCTTTCCACTGGCACAGTTTGGATGAAAAAAAAGAAAAGATCTCAATTTGTCTGCTGTGATTTAAAGAATAAATGTTATACAGGGTGGTTTCATTATTGCGGTAGCTTAATATGACCAAAAGGCCGTTTGAGGACTTGGTTCACGCAGTTGTTTATCTTCTACTTGACAATCAGCCAAGCTAACAATGGAAAGTAATGTCAGTCCAAGGAATACTTTAGCACTTGGGCAGTATATTTTGGTTATTTATCCTGTAATGTGCCAAGTCATGTAAATGAGAGCACTACATTGTGATAGAAATATGCACAAATAACAGCATTAGACACTAAATCATTTTAATAAACAATCGCAAATCTTCTCCATGATAATGTATCAACTAGCAATATAACCAGAGAGATTTCTAATGACGACTGAGAGAAGAGTTGATGTAAAAGAAAAGCCCCTGGACTCCTCTTAATGGCAGCATGGTGGATTTCCTCCTCACTTACAGATCCTGCGAGGTCTGTCAGAGTCATCAGTCGTCTGCAAGGCTGGTTGCACTTTCTGTTGACGGGGCCACAGCTGAGTCATACAATTTATCTCCACCTCGACACTCCACCCTCTGGCAGAGGACAAACAGTGAACCTTAATATAGCAGTAACATAAACGATGATCATGACTGTTGTGGGTTTTCTCGCCCTGCTCTGCCACCAGTGTAATATTGAGTAGATTGCTCTACTGAAAGCCTCATATAAATCTTCTAATTTAAGATTCCATTTGCCGAATTTGAGAAATTACCCACAGCCACGGATGTTCTGTTACCAAAAGACCGCCAAGGGACCACCAAAGGCCACTAAAGGTCCATTATTAAAGGGCAGCCTGCATCAAATTAAAACACAAATGAAGTGGACAGTGAGTAATTATAGCCATGAGAGTAACTTTCTTTCGTTTTATAGGGAGGGTTTGCCTAGATTGAACTTTGAGCTTTGCATCAAACAAGTATTCAGTGATTTCACAGCTTCACTTGATGCCTTTTGGCATGACTTATACAATCAATCCACATTTGTCTGACAGCGTGGCTGGAAGGCTGACCTCATGCTGCATCATTCATAGTTAATGATGGTCAGCTGGCATCTGGTGAATGGTGAATTTTTAAATGAATTCTGGAAAGACAATGAATTAGTGGCAAATATGCGACTCAGACGAGGGCAGTGGTACACTCAGGGCAATTTCTATTCTGTTACAATCATGTTATTTCTCATTTGATAGAGTCCATTCATTGCAAAGTATTAGTCTTGCTTCCTACTGAACGGCATGTTTGAAAGGCTCAGCGTGGATGCTTACACTTCGATCAACTCACTGAATGAAATATCAGAAATCAACAGCTTCCTGATTTTCTTTTCCATAATTTTCTTATTACCATTCTTCTCCATTTTCCTCTCTTGCATTATTTTAAAGCCCAGCGTTCTTCACTGCCTTTGCAGCAACGCTATTGAGAGACACCCCCATGCAGCTGAGGTCACTCTGTAAACTGCATGTCTTGATCTGCAAATGTGGCCATTTGTGCTTTACAGAAACCTCTCATTTGGAGAGAGACAGCGTTCTCACTGGCTCTCCCTGCAAACAACAGCCTGCTTCTCACTCTCGCTGTTTTAGAAAAAGGCCAAAAGCAGAGCCACAGGCCTCTCCCATGCTGCCTAGTACATAGATAATGATACTTCACTTTGATTGCAGATAAAATGTTCAGTATGCTAGAACAAGCCCTGGCCCTTTCTGGAGCCATCCCCTATTCAGCCTCACAGTGGGGCACTTTTGGCTCATGTGGCCTTTAAAAATGCAACAGTTTAACATTTAAAACGTATTTTTGCTCATGCTCTGAGGTGATACACTCTATTTGGAACAGAATATACACATGTAGTACCATTGTACAGTATATTACAACTATGAAAATGACATTTGGGATACATCAGGCAGCAGCCATGTGTTAAAGATGTTGTCTTGGTGATGATGTACATTGATGTTGTTGCAGGGCCGGACGGAGAGCATCACTGGCCCAAGCATTATCCATACTGTGGCGGTGCTTTCCAGTCTCCAATAGACATCAAGCCAGAGCTGCTAAGGTTTGATCCAACTTTACGTCCGATTGAGGTTCAAAACTACGACCTGTCACCAAATGAGCAGCTCACTCTTGGGAACAATGGACACTCTGGTGAGTATAAATAAACAGTGGTGTCCACATAATGGACAACACTTCAAATGCAATGTGCACTTTAAACTCATTTCATCGCGAGTACTATAACTGTGCATCAAACCAAGCAAATATTTAATAAAACTGCATTTTGGAATTTAGATTTTCTTCATATCAAAGTATTGCTCTAGACAACGTATTCATTAGAAATGGCCATGCATAAACCTAATTTCTGGGCCAAGCTAAAGAAAATGATAGGAGGATCCTACTTCTACATCTGCCACAGCAATTTTCTATAATCACACTCTTATTATCTTAACTGTCCTTTCACCCAAAGAAAGAACTCCATGTTTAGTCTGGGAAAATATGAGCAAAGGCTTGTCATCTACTCTGTCTCCGTTTGAGACAGATGCATCTTAATAAAGAGCTTCAATTTTTCATGCAATATGTATGTAATTGCAATATATATAGCAATCAGAGCACAGACGACCGTGATCATGTGCAATAAAAACGTGTTGATGATTTAAGGGGATGAATATAATCGTTCCACAAAATTACAGTTTGTTGACAATTTGAAGATTTGTTTCAGCTGAGGTTAAGCGAGGTAAACTCTGGTTGAGCTAGTTTCTGACACGTTGCCTTAAGCGTCGTATAGAAACTGCTATATGTTAGAAATTTCAATGACAATCTGAGTACTGCTGCTGATGTCTGCTGAGTGTCGGTGACGATTCGCGGCTGTGAAGTCCGTGTAAGTAAACAGTTTGGCACTGACAGAGTGCAAATGCCAGAAAAATGCTTATGTGTGCATCATTGATGGGCCTCAACACCACAAGCTGAGTGGCATCATCAGCGCGACACGTGTTTAAAATAAGCTGACAAAGGATCTTCGCGCGTAAGCATTCATCATACTCTGACTAACATGTGGAGCAAACCCTGCGTCACTGCACCGTAAAATGTCTTGAATGTTGCTTTGACAGCACAGAAGGGGGTCGTGCTGACCTCCTCACTTTACCTCAAAGTTGATGGTTCTTAATGCCCCGGCGGTGAAGTGAGGTAACCCCTAAGCTGCTCTGTGATGGGTGCTGAGATTACATTTCTTTTGGTCCACAGTGCAAATATCGTTGCCCTCCAAGATGCACATCTCCAGCCTGCCTCACCGGTACACCGCGGCTCAGCTCCACTTCCACTGGGGCTCCTCCAGTCGGCCTGCAGGCTCCGAACACACGGTGAACAGTAGGCAGTATGCAGCAGAGGTAAACAAAGCACTTTTTAACTCCCCAGTACTGATTTAGAAGATGATGGTGGAGAGTGACGACATACTCTAGTATTATACCCAAGTACAGCTCCAGCATCCTTGTACTTTATTTGAAGATTTGCATTTTCTGCTGCCGTATACTTCTGCACTGGAATTGTACTCTGGTTACATTTTAGATACATTCAGACAATCTTAGTTGAAGCTACAGTTTGCAGGGTCAAAAAATTAACAAGAGTAAATGAGATTTTTCAGGCATACAACTGAAAAATAGAGCACACACTGCCTGACTACAGTAGGAGGACTAAATATGTTGGTCTGAAGAGGAGTGCGACACATTCAAAATACATCATGTCTCATTCACCGTAACCCATAACCCTCTCCCCACAAAACACAACAAACCAGATAATTACCTGTCCAACAGCAAAAGAGCAACCATGACATCACTTCTCTGGCTCTTTGACTTCCACAAGAAAGCCATACTGATGTTGACTCTGGTTGCACCTGTTGCTATATTCCAAGCTATTTTGGTGACTGCGTTTCTTTGTTTTGTTTTTATTTTGCGTTTTGTGTAGCAGCGCAAACTGTTGCAGGTTTAGATGGAATTTGAACATGTAGCTGCTTTCTGTCTGCTAGATCTAGCAATGTGTTTGGCTAGACTTGTGTACTCCAGTGAATAAGTGCGGTGTGCACTCACTGCCATAAATAACAGATTATTTTTTTTTACTTTTTTTATTTAAAGCTGTTGACGTGTCACAAAACTTTTAACAACTATAAAAAAGAAATGCTACTGGAATGCTTCACATATTGGCTTTAATTGCTAGTTTCTGGGCTAATATTTTAAATATTTGACAATTTATATCGTTCTGTGTGGAGTTTGCATGTTCTCCCCGTGCACCGTGGGTTCTCTCTGGTTCTTTCTCCCACAAGGTCTAGAAACATGCTGAGGTTAATTGGTGATTCTAAATTGTCTGTAGGTGGGAATGTTAGTGTTGTCTGTCTCTAAGTGTAGCCCTGTGATAGACTGGTGACCTGTCCAGGGTGTCTCCTGCCTTCACCCTAAGTCAGCTGGGATAGACTCCAGCCCCCCGGTGACCCTAGTGAGGGTTAAGCTGTGTATAGATGATGGATGGATAACACTGATAATATTTTATACAAAGAACCCCTGTATAATGTGTTACCTCAGTAACATCCCCAGAACATCCTCAGAACATTTTGCCTTGCATCAGGCAAAAAAATTCCATCTTTCTTTAATATGTCAAATTACAGGAATGTTTTATAACAGACCGTCTGTCGTCGAGAACATCTTGAAAAGATTTTGCAAAATTCTTTTCGTTCTTTCGTTGTCCCCCCCCCCCCAACACACACACACACACACACACACACACCAAACACACCCCACCCCCCCGCGCAACCCTAGTGAGGATTAAGTGGTGTTTAGATAATGGATGAATGGATGGATAGATGTTTTGTTATAGAGCTCAAATTCTATAAGTTTGCCAAAATCAGCTCCACCTGCAAGTTTTTGCACAAATAATTATGTCTGTGAAGATTCTCAGTCATCCAGGTCATGGTTATTCTGGTAGACTAATTGCAGCAACTGGACTTGCTTGAGTTCCTTGAGTTCGCTGAGGTGAAACGTCTTCAAGAAACTCAAGCAAGACCAGTTGTTACGATTAATCTACCGGAAAACACAAATAATTATTTTCTCAATATATACAGAATGCTGCAAATAAGACTCTGAATGTTGGAAATTTGCATTTTAAATTTAATACTTTAAGTACATTTTGCTGATGATTCTTCTTGTAGCAGTGTTTCAGTATTGCTACTTTAGTCAAAGATCTAAATATTTTTTTCTACCAGGTTGTCTGAGGTGAGCTCACCCCTGCAGTCTATTCATTTCAGTATGTCTGCAGCATCAGGTGGCACCAGACAAATGATTTAATACTTTATGATTTCAACCTGTGACATTTGACTGGCAGATGAATCAGGGTCACCGCATGTCACTGCTGTCTTTTCCCGACGCCTTGGCTTGACGTTCAGTTTCCGTCTTCTTGACAGACGGTGTCAGAGAATGTTTAGCGTGCATCTTTTGCTTTTCTTGTGAAATCCCACAATTAATGCTTGCATAAAAGAACAATTGAAGACACAAGTTTTTAAAAGTTAAGAGTCTCCAAAACCTCAACTGCTGAGAGAACAGTTAAGTACATGGTTGTTGTTTTTTCCCACATAAATTTTCCCTTTACCAATCACATTAACATATCAAGAAAAAAAGGACACAAGTCAGCCTCTTTATGCCCATAACTGCACAGTATGTCAGTGTCTTACTTCTGCAGGGCTTAAGGGGATTAGAATGCCAGGCTATTATATGCTTTGGCTTTCAACCACCTCTGGAAAGGAGTGGCTGTCTGCGCTATTCAATGTGTCAAGCCCTGTAAGCAGTTTTCACACAATAGTTCGCTCTATTTACTTTGCTACTTAAAATAAAGCAGACAATTTGACAGTAAAGCTTTAAAGTGAGTGAAAATAGGAGACTGTTTTATTTAATTTGGTATCATTTCAGTTGCAGTGGGTAGACGCTGAAATGGCTGCAACCTGTGCGCTTTTATGTGACCATGCGCCAGCTGCAGCACGGCCACATGTGAGGTGCTGCGGTTTGACCTGAGTTTCTGAGTGGACACGTCGAGAACACGCATCTTTTTAAGTCTCTCCAGACTCCAGAACCACAGTTCCTTGATGACATGTTGTTTTGGCAGGATGGAATGATGGGCGAATTGAACGTTTCCCAGAAATAGGGCAAAGCATCCACCTTAATTTAAAAGACAGGATGAAGTCTGAAAATACAGTTGCATCATATTTGACCAGAAAGACCAGCGTGAATACAAGATGACCAAAACAACTGGAATTCGTCTATGTTCTGTCGTAGACCATCCGGTGTAAAACATCTCTAGTTTTTCTTGTGTGGTTTTGTCACAAGCATTTACGTATTGCACTTCTTCTGTTGTGCTGTACACTGACTACAGCTGTTGTTAGTGACAGCTGTTGGCAATTCAGTAAATAGGAGGACATATTAAAAGCAGAGATGCTATAAAGATATGATCTATCCTCTAACCTGTTTGCTTAATACTGGAAGTTTAAACATTTTCCATTATTTGGGGTAGGCTAAATAAAAAACACAATTCAATATCAAAACAACAAAACCTAATCATTTGCCTATAACCCACATGATGGTAGGATTTATTGCAGGGCTGTTGTATTAGACTGTATTTATCTATTATAGCTGGGTGTGCTTAATAATCTGGCAAATGAACATACAGTATATGCAAGTTTTTCCATTAAAATGACTTCAACAATTATTGGTTGTGTGTCAAAGCTGCTGTGTTCCTCCAATATTCTCATAATAGCTTCTTTTTCTTCAATATTATTTTAACAAAGCATTTCCATTACAGTTTACACAAACCATTTTTTCCAAAGCAAATGTGTTTCTGTAAACAAGTGGATTTCTTAAAAAATATGTGACTGAGCTACACCAAATAATTCACTTTTACTCTATCTGGTTGTGTCACTGCTTACTTTTCATCTCAGATCCAGTAATTAGTCATTCGCATGTCTTGACTACTTGCTGGTTTGTTTTCTTAATACGATCTTGACATATTCTGTCCCTCCACAGATGCATGTAGTACATTACAATTCAGACAAGTACCCCAATATGTCCATGGCTGTAGACAAATCTGACGGTCTGGCTGTACTGGGTGTCCTTATTGAGGTGAGTTCATGTGACCTCTGTTGGAGAGAGGACAGCGTTTTGTGAATTTTGTGGCGTAGAACCATCTGACTATGTTTTCTATGCAGGTTGGGGAGTTCAATCCAGCATTTGAACAGTTTCTACGGTTCATCAATGGTATCAAATACAGAGGTGAGTCTGAAGTGATGATTTCTGCTATGTGTAGATAACTCATAAACTGTCCCAGTAAAGGCTTTGGTTTATTGTTTTTGAAGTCTCTCAACTTCCCATCAACTCATTCATGTGGCTGTAAAGAATTCCACTCTGACGTCAACAGTTGTTAAACCGTTGATTTCTGTTTTGTCAGATCAGAGAGTGCAGATATCCGGGTTCAACATCAGAGCGCTGCTGCCTGCGCGTTTGGATGAGTATTATCGCTACGACGGGTCACTGACCACTCCTCCGTGCTATCCAAGTGTGCTGTGGACGGTGTTCAGGAACCACGTAACAATTTCTCGCAAACAGGTGCTTCAACAACAAAATTTTTGTTAAGCAAATTTGATATTAGGATTTTTAAAAAAGCCAACGTTAAACTGCCATTTAATTAATTTTACATTTCAATGCTGTTCAGACGTTTTAAGTTAAAAGGTGTGCGTAACTTGCTTTTGTTTTGTGTCTTTTCAGTTCCTGTCCCTAGCAACAGCCCTCTTCTCCTCCCACGCCCAGGACTCTTCTCCTGTGCCGCTGAATGGCAACTACAGGAAACCACAGCTCCCTGACAGCCGAGTTGTCCTGGTATCTTTCAAGGAAGGTAAGTACGGTTTTCAAAACAAGCTCGCTTTATTATTGGCGCATGAGTCAAAAGGTCACTTAAATGACATAGCTACTGTGCTGCTTTTAAAATGGCTAAAAGGCAGGTTTGAGTCATTTGCGGGCATTTGCTGTCCTGCAAAGCACAGGACTGTCACACTGGCTTTGGCTTGTACGGTATCACCTGCTTGTGGCTGAGCTTTCATGTCGATCATTTTTAAAGCTGATTGACTTTGATGAGCTTGTTCGAAAAGTAGGCCATCTTTTAAGACACTTCAAATTAGCCACCCCACTGACATACTGAGAACGTCTGCAGCCCTTAAATTTGTCTTTAAAGCCTTACTCTTATGTGGTTGCCTGGTTTACCACACTGTATGGTATTTAAGTCCATATAGTGTGGTATGAATGTGCATGTTTTCCTCATTTTCAAAGCTTCCCTCTCAGCGCTATGCTTTCCTAATGGCACATGTTTTGACATGGCAGTGTGGAATCTTGTGCTGTTAGCTTTCACAAGTGGCATTTAGCGGACGATGGCTTGTGCTTTTAGTGCATCACTATAGACAGCGCTGTTGCATGCTGGGTGTCAAGGTCCGACATCATTCCAAGGAATATCCCACATGCTGGGATGTTTAACAACGTTGGCTCTGTGTCTGATGCAGGCAGAGGACTGCAAGGTCCTCTTACAGTCACAACTCCACTCGTGAGGAAGCGCATCGTTCAGCAGCTGCTGGTCGGCGACCTAGCAGACCTGGCTGACGAGGGGCTGTATCAGCTCCTACCAAGCGGCTCAGAGAAGCTCCAGGCTGGCAAGAAGAAAGGTCTAAAGAACCAGAAGAGTGAGACTCTGGCCAAATCCAAACAACAAACGATGAATCCATCCCTTTGGAAGAAGAGCCAGACCAACAGCTATGTGGGAAAGTCTGGGCTGGCTGAAGACACGCTGTGCTACAGCTCACTGGAGCAGACAGTTTTCCATCAGCTCAGACAGTCCCACGCTGAGAATCAGCTGGTTGAGGCTCTCCGAGATTCAGTTTTCCCCAAGCTCAACCTCAAGAGCTACCTGGACTGTAAGTCGGACTTAGCTCTCCCCACCATCAGACACATGCTCCGCGGCCGGCCGACAGATGAGGCTTTCGAGTTAGATCGTTCTCTCACAAGAGCCTTGAAGAATCAAAGGAAGACGTCCACAGCAATTAAGCAAAGTGTGCCGGTGACAAAGTACAGCGGTCTTTCCCCTGCTACTGTTCCCAGGAAACCACACGGCCAGGGTTATCCACATCCTTGGCTTCTGCCAATGGAGTGGGAAGACTAGAAAGATTCCTGGCATAGCTGAGACTCACATTGTCACTTTCTGTAGCAGACGTCAGCTGTGTGACCCACAATGAAAGACTAATTTTTCCAACCATGCCCTGCATTATTTTAACCAGTCTTTGCTTAATGTATTTATTGTTTCCAGTATGTGCACATAATTATAAATGTCATCATGAAAGCATAACCTCAGATACAGAACCTGTCATCACCAGCGACCGTGCTCAGTACTGTAAGAGGATTGTAATATAGTACAACAATCTCCATATTTATATTTTTATGTCATGATAAATCTGAGAAATGTTTACATCAGGGTTTCGGGCATGTTTGCATATTCTTGCCGAGCTGAACAAGGTTCTCAAACGAACGACAGCAGAAGCGCACATTTCTTGCTTGACGATCTATATGCGTCAAGGTACATGAAGTACACAAAATTTCTGACGGGGAACATTTATAGTGTTATACAGAACGCCAAGTTCACTTCTATAGTAGGGTAATTGTGCAGTTATGCTAGTAATTATTGCCTTACACAATGTGGAGATGCAGTTAAACCAAAAGAATTTCCTGGAGCTAAAGCGCTTTATGTAACTTCACTATCTTTTCTTACAGTTTGTTTCTTCTCACATTTCCATTTACACGTAGCAAAGAAACCTGCACTATATATATAAGGAACTATTTGAAATAAAAGCATCATACTTGAACCATACATGGCGGACGTCTTCCCTGTTTGCACCACTTCACACGAAACTTGCAGGACTGTTATTTGATGTTGTTATTTTTTATAACATGCTAGTTCTTTGCAGGTTCGCAGAGGTCTGACGACTCTCTCAGTGAGCCGTAACCAGGGCACGAGGCAGACAAACTACATGCATGGAGACTCTGTGTTATATTTAAGTTCCATACATTTAACTTCTATATTTATAAGGGTAGAGGATGGAAACATGGGAGGTTTGGAATTGCACATGTTTGATCAGAAGCAGAACTTAGAACAGAAGAAATTGTCTGTATTGAGAGGCTTCAGGCTAAAACTGAGTTTTTATGTAGTGTGTGGTTTCTTGCAGTGGTTGGGTCTTTCTGGGAAGGTCAAGTGAAAAAGGTTGTGGATAAACGAACTCGTCAAGAGTTTTGTACACTTTAGATCAGCACTGGCCATGTGACTGTGATGTCTGCCGTAATGATGTTAGAGATGCTGGGAGCAAACTGACAACCAGCACAACAAATGACCTTGAAGTGTTTCTGCAACACCTTGTTCATAACATCTGTCTGTTACTAGAAGGTTCACGACTGTCGTTAGGATTTAATTGTTCTCTTTATCTGTCCTGAACCCTTTAACTCTGTCCCTTTGATGGCACCATGTCTGAGGTGTCCTTGAATTCCATTTTCATCATTTCTTCTCTTTCTCTCTGTTACTCAGATGACCAGTCTTGGATAAACACTGGTATGTTGCCTTTCTGTATTTTATGCATCTTTCCTTCATGTTAAATGGTGTCTTCAACATCATCTCATACTTACGCAGCATCGAGTGATCCTACCTTTCTAACCCCTGGAATTTGAACAAATAAGTAACACATAAGTTAAAGTGGCATTTTCTCTTTCTGAATTTCACTCAGCTAATCGAGACAATTACCAAACTAAACCATTACTAGACTACATGTATTGTACAATTCTATAATTCTGATATAAATATGTCATATACTCCCTCCTATATTCCATCACTAAACACTTCTAGTCCTAAAACGTGATTCCTTTTTGGTTTTGTTGATTTTTTTTTCATCTGTAATAATATATATGTCCACTTTAAACACACATAAAAAGTCCCATACCAAGCAAACAGTGCAAGACTATATTTATTACATGTCCATTCCTCTGTTGCTCCACATTCTGCAGGTTTACTGGTTCCCATATTGGTGAGCTCTGCACTGGGATTTGTTCTCCTTGTCTCTTTATTGTGCTGTCTATTAAGGCAGAAGAGGTAGGTAAAAGGCAAAACTATTCAACAAGACTACAATTGTACTTGTTGAAACCTCTCTGTAAATAATAACTCACTGTATAACGTTAGTTTTTTCAACCAGACCACAGCTAAATCAACTCGATTAAGACAAAAGCTTGGCAAAGTTTAAAGTCTGGTGTATCTCACGCTTTTTTTAAGATGTCTGAATTTACCAAAAGTAAAGAATTTTATTGCGCAAATTTAAAGCTTTCCATGGCAGACTATAGCGGTTGAGATGTATTTATATAAAGTGGACAATTGCAGAGAGCATTTCAAGGGAATGGCTGACCGTAAATGACCCACACTGTGGGCTTTAAGACTCAATGAGTTTATAGGGGTTGTGTCCTCATTAGACATGTTTTTTTTGTTTTTAGAGGGGAATGTATATACTCACTTTTACCACTCTGAGTCACTCTTGACGCCACATAAATCATGAACCCAATTTGCGTAATGGTGGTTTGCTATAAACAACTAATGGTACCCTGGAGAGTATTTTCTTGGTTTGCGTTACTGTGTGACTTGGAGGTTCTGTTGTGGCACATAGTTACGAATACGTTAACTTTTTATTGAGGGAAAACTAACTTTTGAAAAACTTACCTTGAAGTGACATGTCTTTCCGTGTGGCACGTTTGTGAGAAAAAAGATTTTTATTAAAACAAAAACAGAAAAAGCAGTGTTCAGTGCAAAAAATATGAGATGCCTTTAAAAAAAATAAATGCTTCATTCAGGACAGTAAACAACTGAAGCAATAAGATGTTAAACTTCCCAGACTGAATGATTATTATTGTTGTATATAATATATGTTATATTGATTTAAAAATAAAAAATAAAAAAGTGAGCTTTTACAAGATTGAATTTCCCTTCTGGGATAAATAAAGTATTTTTCATTTCATTTCATTCATTTCATTCATTTCATTTAGTACAAGAGGAAGTGAATCAAGAGAGGAAGTTTCAGTGTTACAACCATAGTTCTGACTTTTACATTCATAATTAGTTATACAATTAGGAGGAAGTAAGTGTGAGGAAGAAGAAAAGAAACATATTCATGCTGTCCATATTATGTAAAACTGAACTGAAAAATTTGGAAAACGTCAAACAAGTAAGAAAACTTTGGTGTCTCTAAATAAGGAAACAAACCATGAAAACTTAATATATTTACAAATGTTTCAGTCACTGAATGAGTGTTTTTAAGAGTTTCTGTGACAAGATAGGACTTCTGCTTTCAAAGATATCTGTTGAACAGCTCAAATTAAATGCAAAGTTAAGGAAAGCGTGCTTTAAAGTTGTCTCCATATCAGTGGAAGTTGTTGTCTTTTCTATTTCTTTATGATAAAGATACACAATCCGCTTCTGGAGGTAAAAGGCTTCATGACAGTTTAATCCCAGATGGTTTGGTGGTGGGATTTCTGAATCAAACAGTCTCAAATGTTTCTGCTTTCTTCAAATGTTCTTTAGAACCATCTCTTCCACACTACGTCTAAATGAAACGTGTTTCTTTAAAGCATCAACAGTTCTCTGTTTACAGGTGACTAAATCCCTGAGTAACAAAAATTACAGGGAGAAAAAAAAAGAAACTCATAGCTCTGAATTGCCTCCATCACATCACATCTTGCTCATATATCACGGAACGAAATAACAAACAATATCTTGATAGAGACGTTTTGCCATGTAATGAACCTGCAGCTGATGGGTAAGCTCTTTATTTGAGACTACAGATTGCATGTTTTTATATGATTGCCCCACGGTTCTTTTGTTTTTTGTTTTTTTTTTAGATCTGGTGCCGAACAGGACAAAAGCAAAAATGCCGCATACAACATTGGAGACAGAGACGAGTGCGGCTCCAGAGTATAGCTCTTTGTTGTGGATCTCGGTTCAAAAGAAACGTCAACATGACCATGAGAGCGTCGTCCCTTTGCATCACCTCATTGTGTTTTCCTGAAATTGTCCCATGGGTCAGTTTGGACATTTATGGAAGCATGCAGGGTTTTAAGTCCATCACATGATTACGTTTGCATGCAGCTCTGGGGTTTTGGGAACCACTTTTTTTCTTTTTTCTCAAGCCACAGTCTGGACTGTTTTTGCTGTGTTGTGGCAGCAGAACGCAGGAGGCCTCCACGCTGGATGTTTTGTACTGTGAGACTACTTCCTAAGAGCAAGAGGAGCAGCTGTCCCCTCTAATCCCTCGTTATTTATCTGACGTGATGTGCTGAGTTTCTTAAGGAGGGCTCCGCACAGGAGCTCCCAGGCATGTACAGTAGAGACAGAGCTGAACTGGTAAGAATCTCAGGTCAAGTCAGATCATGGCACCCTTTCCCTCGGGCTGTCCTGGCATGGTAGAAAGCCCGACCACAGTCCAAACAATAGGGGAAAAGGAGTCGACAGACATCCCTGATGGTAGCACGGCCTGAGAGGGATGGGCTATACCGCATTTGCACCAACCCTGTACTTAGAGTTGCTCTATGGATTTTATAATAAAAGGGTGCTTAGCTTCATACAAACACTGCTCCTTTCCTGTGAATAATCTTGAGAAAGAAAGGCTTTTGTGTTGTCAGGCTGCACGTGGGCTGACCCCTCACCCCAGTCCGCTAGTCAGATCACAAGACAAAACTCCCCAGCACTTCTGAGAGCCTCTCAGTTGGAAGCGTACAGTTAACCACAGAACTGCCTGAGAGCTATTGCATCATCATGTCATGCTCACCAGCTTTCCCTTTGCCACTTCACTGTGTCCTCTGTCTTTGCTATAGCCATGCATCTATGATCCTAGAGAATAGAGTATAGGAGATGACACCCTTTACTGTGAGCCCACATGTTACATAGTTTAGACAGATTAAACAGGTTATCTGGTAAAATAAGCATTAGGTGACTGTTTCAGCAGAATAAACTCATTCCACCATCACAAGACTTTTTTTCTGTACCTGTTCATTGCTGCTTGTTGTTATATTTCACTGTTGGAATCCCATATTTTTGATAATTTTATCATTACGTGTGTCGAGATGTGTTTGATTTGTAAATGGTGGTATTTGTGCGATAGTGTAAATATCTGCTGTCACGCAGAATGGAAAAATAAAAGTAGATTTGTGTTTTCAAATACAGTCTGCATTTTTATTGTGTTTTGTTGAAAAGTGGCATCACTGTTTAGAACAAAGAGATGTTTTGATTACATTGATTAAACCTCAACTTTATTCAATGTCTTAAGGACTAAATCCTGTCATCTACAAAGAAGAAATATCGTCAAGGTCAAACCAGTGCACCCAAATAACATGGCTGAACAGTTTATCCACACCCTCAGCTTACACCCAGTTAAACCCACACACAGCTACAGTTGAATCAAAATTTGGGAGCAAGATTACTCACAAACATTTAGCTGAATTACATAGATTACATATAGATAGATAGATAGATAGATAGATAGATAGATAGATAGATAGATAGATAGATAGATAGATGAGTGGATGGATGGTCTGAGTCCACTCTACTCTCTGAATTTTTATTTCTACCCTTCGACCCCTTAAATCAGAAAATCTATAACTAAAAAGTAAGTAAAAGTGTAAGTTAAAAATGCGACAGTCCAGGATTAAAACCTTTACAGTCAGAAAAGCTAATCAGTGTTTTTTTATATCACACCAGTAAAGACAGCTGTGTGCATATTTTTTTTCCTTTTAAAAAAAATGTTTAGTTCACTGTCTTTATTTAAATCTTTATTGTTTTCTTTTAGTATTTTAGTGTCACTTTTTTATTGCAATGTGCATTTTAAAGTTTTGTAAAGCATCTTGTAACTATTTTTTAAAAAGGTTTTATAGTGATAAAATGATGATGATAAGGATGAATATATTGATCATCATCATCATCATCATCATCATCATCATCATCACCATCAAAACCCAAAGAAAGATCTAGAGCTTTACACTCTTTTCCCTCTCCAACCTGTTGCAAATCACAGTTTTTTCTTTCTTTTTCCTTCTTATAACTGGGTGACACCTGCCACACAGAGGTCACCTGCCCTTTATGACCTGAACGACAAAGTGTGAAAATGATTTAAACATTGCTGTCAGCTGTTGAGCTGTACTGCCATCTACAGGCTGCTTCATTTAAATGCAACAACAGAACCTTTTACTTCCGGGTTTTGTCTTGAGGTTTGAGTTAATCTTCCATTTTTGTCGTTGCGCCGGTTTGCACTCTGTTCACGTTAGTTGCACCTGCAGATCTGCGGGTGTTTGTGCGCAGGTTTCAGGATGTATCACCAGCCTGTGCTGAAGAACAGGCGCACACTGCTGGAGAGAGCAGAGAAGTTCATCTCAGATATTTATTTCACAGACTGCAATCTGAGAGGACGGTAAGGCTTCTTTCATTCAGCTGCACTGACTTTAGATAAACTGCAGCTCTTACTTTAAATGCGACGTTGTTTTGTATCGTATTCATTGCGTCAATCTCAGTGGCTGCACTAATGCTCATTTGGACACCGACCTGCAAGATGGTGCAGAAAGGGAAGCACAAGCACGTTTGAATCACTGTGAAAAGTCTTGATGATACCTAACAGGAAGTTTACCCTGACCTGTCATTGACCTGTTTTCCTCGTCGCCTCCCAGGTTTTCTCTCAGGTCCAGATCTAAACACATCTAACCTGATGTGCTGTATTTACAAACCCACATGATGCTTCTGTAGTTCATCTGTTTGACATTGCAAACTGCATATTAATCTTGCCACACTTGCACAAACACTCAATGAGATTTATTTGGGGTTACAGGGAATATTTAAAGCCTTTTGAGGTAAACTAGGATTGTATTCATGATTTGGAGGCAATATATGCTGAACAAAAATATCAACTAAAAAAGTTTTTGAGCTGCTTAACTGGTGACAAATTCTCAATCTCAACCACTGAGATAATCCTCTTCCAAGTCCGGTTTGTTATTGAAGGACAACTAGAAAAGTTCAGAAGAAATTTTGAGTGTGCTGAAGCAGCTTTTGTCCTGCTGTGTTTATACATAATGTATAATGTAAGGACACTTTATTGTGAAAAGCCAGCATGTTTCAATAACTTTTAGCGTCTTTAAGCTTTTACTTTGAAAGTGTAGTCTAGTATCACTCGTCAGCTGTGAGTCACTGGTTGTTGCAGGGAGAAGAGCAGAGAGATGTGCAGACTAAGGATTAGTCTCTCAAACAAACGCTCACGGCTCAAAAACTATAAGTCGTATTGAAAAAATTATTTCCCGATATGAAGCACAACCTTGTTTTGAACAAGCTGGTGTATTTTTATGTACGTACTGTGTATTATACAGATTTGGTGGCGGATTAAAGAGACCTTCAATTTCTGATTTTCACCCTAAATGTTTCTGATCTATGCCCCCACGGCCCATTATCATTTCCAACACAATGCGTACCTGTTTCTTTTATAAAATCCATTCTGTTGTAGAGATGCCATGTGTTGGAACAACAAATCCTTATTCCTCTATGTTAAAAAAAAACATGAATGAATNAAATTTCCTAACTGAGTTTTGTGTGACTTTGCAGGCTGACGGCACTGTTCTGATGGAGAATGGGATTTTACAGACGGTCATAAACAAAAGTGGCACTTTGGCGTCGCTGCATTTGATCAGTGCAAACAGGTACTTTGACACTACATGTGAAACACCTTGTTTTCAACATGTTTCCAGGAACTGTCTCATCACTGTCTTGGTTTCAGAGAAACCATATCTGATGGCTGCTGTGGGAACCAGTTTGTCATGTTTGATGACGTCCCCCTGTACTGGGATGCTTGGGATGTAATGGACTATCACCTTCAGACAAGGTTTCAGTCTTTGCTGCTACGTCTGTATTTTGTTGAAATCTTGAAGCATCTTGAAAAGCACCACAGTAGGATATGAATATGATACAATTAACAGCAAAAATGTACCTGTAGGAAGCCGGTGGTGGAGGTGGTGCAGCCTGTTCATGTGGTGTCCTCAGGTGGGCTTCGAGGCAGCGTCAGCTTCACCCTCAGGATCAGTGATAAAAGCACTGTCACACAGGAGATTGTCATGGATGCCATGTGTCCTTACATCAGATTCAACACAGAGGTCCCTTTTTTTTTTTTTTTTTAAATGTGACATGAAGATTTGTAAAACACAATCTGATTTGATAAAAAAAAAAAAAAAAAGATATAAATGCAGATTAAACTAGAAATACATGCTGCTGCATGTTGTAATTTCAGGTGAAATGGGAAGAGTCACACAAGTTTCTCAAGGTTGAGTTTCCTGTGCGGGTGCGCAGCCCCAATGCTACGTATGAGATCCAGTTTGGCCATCTGCAGAGACCCACACACAGGAACACCTCATGGGACTGGGCCAGATTTGAGGTATGAACTAGGGAGTGATGTTTATCACCCACTAGTTTCCTGTTTTTTTAGCCCTGCATTATAGGACAAAAAATGTGAACGTTGCTATTTTCACACATGCAACACTGTTTAAATGCTTTTTATTGTGTTTGTGTTTTCTTTCCCAGGTCTGGGGCCACAAATGGGCTGACTTGTCAGAGCACAACTTTGGAGTTGCATTGCTGAATGACTGCAAANAGAAAAGAAAGCACAAGCACGTTTGAATCACTGTGAAAAGTCTTGATGATACCCAACAGGAAGTTAACCCTGACCTGTCATTGACCTGTTTTCCTAGTCGCCTCCCAGGTTTTCTCTCAGATCCAAATCTAAAAACATCTAACCTGATGTGCTGCATTTACAAACCCACATGATGCTTCTATAGTTCATCTGTTTGAAATTGCAAACTGCATATTAATCTTGTCACACTTGCACAAACACTGAGATTTTTCTGAGTTATTTGGGGTTACAGGGAATATTTAAAGCCAACTAGGATTGTATTCATGATTTTGGGGGCAACATATGCTGAACAAAAATCTAAACTAAAAAAGTTTTTGAGCTGCTGAACTGGTGACAAATTCTTAATCTCAACCACTGAGATAATCCTCTTCCAAGTCAGGTTTGTTATTGAAGGACAACTAGAAAAATTCAGAAGAAATTATGAGTCTACTGAAGCAGCTTTTGTCCTCCTGTATTTATACATAATGTATAATGTAAGTACGCTTTATTGTGAAAGGCCAGCATGTTTCAATACCTTTTAGCATCTTTAAGCTTTTACTTTGAAAGTGTAGTCTAGTATCACTCGTCAGCTGTGAGTCACTGGTTGCTTGCAGAGAGAGGTGCAGATTAAGGATTAGTCTCTCAAACAAACGCTCACGGCTCAAAAACTATAAGTCGTATTGAAAACAATTATTTCCCGATGTGAAGCACAACCTTGTTTTGAACAAGCTGGTGTATTTTTATGTACGTACTGTGTATTATACAGATTTGGTGGCAGATTAAAGAGACCCTCAATTTCTGATTTTCACCCTAAATGTTTCTGATCTATGCCCCCACGGCCCATTATCATTTCCAATACAATGCGTACATGTTTCTTTTATGAAATCCATTCTGTTGTAGAGATGCCATGTGTTGGAACAACAAATCCTTATTCCTGTATGTTAAAAAAACATGAATGGATATAATGAAATATTACATGCTGCATTTATGTTTTTGTTCAGTATAACTCAGTTTGACTTGGCTGTTTAAATGATGGGTCTCTGCAGGCTTTATGGAGACTCTAACCCGCTGGAATCCATCACCTCCTTCCTTTCCTCAAAGCGGATCACATTCACTGAAGCTTCCAAGCAAAACTTTGCACCGTATAAAGTTGGTGATACCTTTGGACCAACGTGAGTAATACTGTCAGATTTTTACCACCTTCAGATTTTTTATTACCTCGGATGTTGGCAGTAACCCAAATGTGATGCTGGTTGAAGGTGGTGGACTTGCTGGTTTAAAGTGAGCCTGAAAATCCCAGAGTCCTGGAGAGGGAAAGAGGTCCATCTTCTGTGGGAAAGCGATGGAGAAGCTATGGTTTGGAGAGATGGACAGCCAGTTCAGGTAAAGTAATAGTTTTATTTGTGCAACAAAGTGGAGAAATCTTGTACTCAACCAATGTGTAAACTGATGTGCAGTGTGTGACCTACTATTTTGCTTTGCAGGGCCTGACTAAGGACGGTGAAAAGACGAGTTACATCCTCTCTGAGTGTCTGAAAGATGAGGAGCCCCACAGGTGAGTTGACTAAAATATGACCTTTTTAGCTTGTTGGTATTCTGGACTTATTTGGACTAAAATTTCCATCTATTTCTCTCCCACTGTAGTTTTACACTTTATGTGGAAATGGCTTGTAATGGGCTTTTTGGAGCTGGTCAAGGGTCCATGATTGCAGCTCCAGACCCAAACAGGAAGTTTTCAGTGCAGAGAGCGGAGCTGGTGATATTTAACAGGGATGTCAGGCAGCTGCTGACTGATTTTGAGATGCTCGTTGACATTGTAAAGGTAACCATTGACCAAAACTGTACACAATGATATATGACCTTATGGAGAAAGAAAGTTTGATTAAAGCAAACATGAAATTGTTTGTTCCTCTTTCACAGGAACTGGGAGAGGGAGAGCAACGAGGCTACCAGGCCCTTTTCACTGTCAATGAGATGGTGAACCTGTGTGACCCGTTTGATCCCAGTTCTTTCTCCAGAGCCCACAGTCTGGCTCACAAATTCTTCCGCCAGCGGAATGGAGAAAGCCAACATATTGTCCATGCAATGGGTCATTGCCACATAGACTCAGGTCTGGATTTTTATTGTTTTTTTGAAGTAGAGCTGAGCATCAAACCACAGGGCATTTTTGGTTCTCTGAATCTGCAGCTGAGATACAAAAAAGGCCAAAAACTGACATTGAAAATGTGGTCACATTTGTTGTGTTACTGTTCAAATCTTACTGATGGAAGTCTTACTGAGGGCAGTTTTTCCCTTTTCTGTAATGTTTTGTAAAAAGAACAAAATAAAAATAAAACTTTACCAAAATGTAGTTATGCCCACACTCATTGTAGTGAAACTCTAATAAGAAGTGCACATTTTTGTTAAATTGGTGCATATTTATCCATGTATTTATCCATAGCCTGGCTGTGGCCTTATGAAGAGACCATTCGCAAATGTGGCCGAAGTTGGGTGACTGTGATCCGTTTAATGGAGAAGAACCCAGAGTTTGTCTTTACTTGCTCTCAGGTAATTCTGCCCTACTACAGTTTTATATGAATCCAAAAGCTTATACAAATCTGAGCAGCCCTCTCCAGTTTTGACTGTTTTTCTTTTGTTCCAGGCGCAGCAGTTCCATTGGGTGAAGGCCTGGTACCCAGGACTCTTCTCCCAGATTCAGCATTATGTGAAGAAAGGCCAGTTTATTCCAGTTGGAGGAACGTGGGTAGAAATGGTAAACCTAATCTTAAAAATACATAACATGGTTTATCTTAATGACTTCAGCTGTGTTATTGGGCACACGTTTGACACATTTGCTTGTTAGGATGGCAATCTGCCGTCGGGTGAGTCCATGGTTCGACAGTTCCTGGAGGGCCAGCTGTTCTTTAACCAAGAGTTTGGGATGCATTGCAGAGAGGTAGGCTTTTACACCATGTCCACATGACCTGAGTGAACTTGTATTCTGATTACAAATGCATAGCAAAATCATCTTTCTTTGTGTTCCTCAGTTCTGGCTCCCTGATACGTTTGGCTACTCTGCCCAGCTTCCTCAGATAATGCAGGGATGTGGCATTTCTAATTTCTTGACACAGAAGCTCAGCTGGAATTTAGTCAACACCTTTCCNTTCAAAAAGCATTTAATGGTATAAAAATATTTTTAAAAACTTTCTATACAGTGGTGCCTCCCATTTGTGCTTTTGTTTTAAAAGCTTTTTTAAAAGTCCACCTGTAAAGACAGCTATATGCTCAACACTTCATCCTTTTTCTAATATATTGTTATCACACTTTTTAATAATTCATTGTCTTTACTCATTTATCATCATTGCTGTTATTACTATCATCATCAAAACACCCCAAAAAGGTCCAGGGCTTTAGACTATATTCTCCTTTTAACCTGTTGTACATCACGTTTTTTTTTAATAACTGGGTGGCTCCTGCATACAGAGGTCACCTGCCCTTTATGACCTGAACGACAAAGTGTGAAAATGATTGAACATTGCTGTCAGTTGTTGAGCTTTACTGCCATCTACAGGCTGCTTCATTTAAATGCAACAACAGAACCTTTTACTTCCAGGTTTTGTCTGATGATTTGAGTTAATCTTCCATTTTTGTCTTTCCGCTGGTTTGCACTCTGTTCACGTTAGTTGCACCTGCAGATCTGCGGGTGTTTGTGCGCAGGTTTCAGGATGTATCACCAGCCGGTGCTGAAGAACAGGCGCACACTGCTGGAGAGAGCGGAGAAGTTCATCTCAGATATTTATTTCACAGACTGCAATCTGAGAGGACGGTAAGGCTTCTTTATCTTTTCTTATTCATTCATAACGGCTGCACATCGTAAGACC